CCCCCCCCCCCCCCCCAAATGCCCTTTTCACTGCTCTCAGTAGAGTTCTCCTAATCCATAACTGAAGGAGACATATATATACAAGTCATTGCTACTGTGTGCAACAAGTATGGTTTTGCCGTAAAGTCAGACCTCCCTCTTGTTTTTCCTTTATAGCATAAATTTTACTGCATATAAAATTCCAGCAATTTGGCAATGGAAAAACTCAGAACAACCACTAGAAGAAAAGCAGACAAACACCCCCTTCACCAGCATCACAGCCACAATCTGGAGGTAAGTGCTTAAATCCCTAACTCTTGTGAGTTATGAAAAGGAAAAAGCTAAAAATAGCACATTTGTAAGGAGAATCCACCCAGTGGGAAGCTGGTTTCTTCTTCTATCTGTGAAGGTTCTTTTAGGAAGACTGTCAAAGTGAATATAAAAACTTGTATGTTTTTATTGCAGTAGCAGAATAACGTGATGCTCCTTATTAGTCCAATTGCCCACTAATATAAATGCAAAGGGAAATTCTTGCCAGGGTCATATTGCCATTACTATGAACAATCCAGAAGACTTAATTTCTTTCCTCCAACTAGAATGAAAGATATTTTCCCTCCCCACAAAATCTGTGTCTCTCATTCTATATGCTCCTTTTGATTTAAGCAATTTTCAACTGCTGTCTATTGCACAAATGTACCAATTCTCTGAGAACAAATGAGGATGACTAACACTAGCAATGATTTTTAGTCTAATTCTCTTAGAACTCCCTCTTGCTATAGCATACACCAGCTATACCGCCTTTAATAAAAATAAATAAATAAATAAATGTATAACTCTTTGGGGGTGAGATATTGCTCACCTTCTCCATTTTCTGCACTAAAACTAAACATGTTTTTTGAATAAGAACATCATCTTGAATCAGATCTTTTTGTAAGGAAGTAACAGAACTGAATGACAGATAGGGTTGGATACAGCAATTGATAATTAAAACAAATCAAGAAGTACATGCTTCTGTTCTTTTACAAAGTAATGTAATGTAGAGGATACACAATTAGTTGTTTCCTCCAACTGTTATCATTTAAGGTCCCGCTCAGCACCAATGAGTGGGACAAGACGTCAAAGAAGACAAAATCAAATTACAGGCTAAAGAATTATCCACTGAGATTAAAAACACTGTCTCAAAGTTGCAGAATGTCATAAATTAAAGGCTGCCACTGTGAACCTTATTTTGATTCAAGTGAGGATAACAACAGATCTGTGTATGAATATAAAACAGAAAAGAAAGAGCGAAAAACCAATATTGGAGGCTACAATGCTGAACTGTGATAAAATGCACAATCTCAAACCCATTCACATTTTTGCAGAATACCACTTAAAGGGTTTGCTTTGGAGGGTCTCCAGAGAAAACAGCAATAACTAGGAGTTTAGCTGTGAAGCTCACAGTATGGTATGTTAACTTTAGAAGAGACAGACGTACATACTGCTTTACAACTGTTTGCTATAAGACTCGCAGTCTTCTTAAAAGTCTTCTCGAGGTAGTGAGCAAATCTCTCATTCTCATTTTCCTTGGAACCCAACTGGAGGAATTCACCTGAAAAGTTGCACAGATGGGAGTTTTTATTTGTGGGTTTACTGCTTAGGCAAGCAAATCTGAAGATAAAAATAGAAAAAGACCTTACCACGCACCAGATCTTCAATCACCTGAGTTAGAACAGAGATGATAGTAGTGTTTCCAATTCGTGCTAAAGCTACGGAAGCAGCTGAGAGGATGAAGTCACCAGCTAGAACAGCCTAAGAATAAAAAAAAAAAAATTCATCTTTTAAGTCTTTTCCTGTAAGTGTTAGTACAGACAATACAATTTCCTTTATTTGGCCTGTCTACTCACATCACATCATTTTCCTACATAAAGCACACATATCTCATTGTAACAGTGAGAAAACAGAAGATAACCAAATATTAAAATTGGAACCATTTTTGAATCCCTATCTTATAGTGCCGTTTATCATTTTCTGTATAAGCACTGTCCTCCCTGTATGCAATATCTGAATACGTGTTTGCCTGTGAAGTTTTTCTGAACATTACTTCTCTATTTGACCATTCTGTTGTGACTGTTATGCCATGTCAGCTCTGAATTGCCACGATAAGTTCTGATGCGTCAGCAGCGTACTTCTTTCCTTGCATTTTCTGATTAAGACCTTCCTTTTAATGCTTTATGAAAAAACACCTCAAAAAAATGTTCATGCTGACAGAAAACCTTTTTGTGTTTATTACTGAATCAGGGTAACCTATAGTGTTCTGGATGAGAGACAAGTTCAAAGTATTCCAACAGCACTGCAGAGAATGGCATAGGGCATGTAAAATCAGCAAGAATCACGCTACAAGCATATATTATCTAATACTTCCAACAGTTCAGAAAAGGAACACACATTTGTCTTACCCACAATCTGTACACACTTCTTTATACTTTTTCTGGCATATCCCAAGACTGTGCCTAAGCATAGTAATGTGACAAAAACCCTAAGTATTTGTGCTCTGCTGAAACTCAAAGGCAAGTCTTGCACATAATAGCAAACTCACCTTCCTCTCTCCCCAGATTTGATTGACTGTCATTTTTCCTCTGCGAGAATTTGCATCATCAATAACATCATCATGAACTAGGCTAGCTGTGTGGATCATCTCAGCAATTATGGCCACAGAACGCTGGCTTGCTTGCACCTCCCTAAAATAAAAAACAAGAACTGTCAAATAATTAAATCAATTACATGTGCTGCAATACACTAAAAGAAATCTCTACTAAAACCAAACAAAATAATGTTTCTCTGAAAACAGCTGTTGCAGCTTTTCCATGGTCTGAACCCCATCTTTCAAACCTGGAATTAGGAAGACAAGAGAAAGTAAGATCACATTAGTACAGTAAGTGCAATGGGACGATCCATCCTTATTAGGTCTGCTTCTGCCTTGCTGCATTAACAGTACTGCAAAACTCCTGAGTTATTGACTCTAATCCCTCTAAATCCAGACTGCAATAAATAGCACAGCATGCTTGGTTCCAAGGAGATGGAAATCTGGAAAATGGCAGAGAAAAGAATGACAGGTAGCTTTGTAGGAGAGTTTTAAGTTTTCCTTATCTCTGTGTTGCTCTACCTATGAGACTCGGCATCACAAACTCTCCAAAGCTGGCTAACTCTACTAACCAGCAAGCTGGAGAGATCAGTGGGCACGGAAACCTGTATTCTACATTTGAAAGACATAACTCATGGATCTTATCCTTCATCTTATCCGATTACCTTAAGACTTCAGAGGTTCTTCAAAATCCTGAGGAATTAACTGGAATTATCCTGCAACCACTTTAGGACTAACTAACTACTTAGCACATACTGAAATTCAGCCTTTGGGAAAAATCTAACACTGATGATTCAACTCTAAGTAATTCACACCTATTTTATGTTTTAAACTAGGTGAAAAGAAGGTAATGGAAGAACATAGAAACAATTATCTAGGGATCAAGGTTAGAAAAATGAACATAAAAAAAGCCAACCTACCTCACACAAAGAACCATCTACCCTAGTATCCAACTGCCACTACCTTGTTCTATCTCTCTTTTTCTACCTGTTTTCATCATGAGTTGCATGCAGGATCCCAGAAATGCCTATCCCAGTCAGCCTTGCCTTATAGCTGTAACAAGCCCATATGGACGTTAAAATAAACCAAACCCAACAAAAGAAAAAACCTCAAACCAATTACTAAAAAAAAACCCACCAACAAAAGAAAAAATTATTTCTGATATATAGATACCTTACTTCTGGTATACAGATAACAGAGCAAATCACCCTATTTTCCAGTAGAACAGAAAAAGAACTGAGAGAAACAGAAGATAATAATTTCAGCTCAGCTGAAGGGAATTTAAAATCTTCTTGCATTGCCTATGTCTATTAAAATCTAGTGATTAATCACAAAATGAAAGAACATCTTGCAGTCTGCTGACATAACACTGCGTTCTGACACCTACCTCTATGCAGAACTCTGCATTGCTGTCAGTGGGAGTTCTACATCCTGAACAATAGCAGGATGTGTGGCTCACAGGCTGTGAAAATGTGGTTTTTAAACAACAGAAAATAAGAGCTGGAAACCTTCACGGTTGTTTGGAGGTAAGTTCTACTGCGGACTAGTAATTTAGTCAAATGCTAGTTCAGTGTAAGTAGTTTTCCAAAATAAACTATTGTTACTAAGTAGGAGAACTTACCTTCAAATAACTGTAAAGGTCTCCAGCCTCTTTCATGCACTGGTCTCCTTTTGGGGACTCCCTTTTTCATTAATTATGTCAGCAGACTGGACTTCCTGCTGGGAAGTAGCAGTAAATGGCAACACTCACCAACACACCAAAATCTTTTAGTAGTATGAAGACAGCACAAGGACAGACATTTCAAAAGCAAGTTTTGAAAAGTTCTGCATTATAGTGCATTTCATCTCTGACAATGACTAAAAATGGCATAGGAATGCTCATGGTTCACGTGTCTGGTTCCCAGAATGCTATATCAAACATGATAATTTAACCTGAAGGGGTTTTTTTAAAAACCACTGTTTCTGCAAGGTCTCAAGCAAAGTTCTTTCCACCGCTGGCAAAAAATTTTGCAATAGTTTCCTATGAACATCTTGTGAGAGTAATTCTGACTCAGAACATGCCTATTTTAGGGAAAACACACAAGAAACAGGATCCTTCTCATTCCCTGCCATTTTTCACTCTGCTTCGCCTGCAAAACAAAAGCAAAAAGTAGCAGTAACTCAAGTCAATAGGTAACTGGGTCCCCACAAGTCCAGTAAGTGGAAAGATGCCATTTTTAGGTCATTCTCAAAGTGAAGACATCCCAAGATGATACAGATTTACACAAAATTTTGATACAATTGTAAATTTATCTTTTTACACATGCATTATATTGATTTTTAAGTCCCCGATCATGTTCTGTTTTTCAGTAGGACCCCTTGCTTGATTCTGTGATAAGCTTTTACAGACCTACGGTACCCTGAGGTCTTTTCCATTACAGAACTTGTTTCATGGACAGTGAACAAGACCAAGGTTGATCTTACAGGTTAAAAAAACAACCAAACACACTTCTCCCTCCAGATATCCCTCTTCAAAAGAAAAAAGGGGGGGGGGGGGGGAGACATAGAACTCAAAACAACACAAAAAAGTATTTACACTCTGCAACAAAGAGCTTTGCAATGTGTTTGCAGTAAGTAAATATTGCCAATTTAAAGACAGAAAATATGCAAAAGAACCTGCACAATTTCTGTGTTATGACCACAATCCTCAAAGTAGGCTTTTGCTGTTAAGTCCCTGTGGCTGAAAGAAATGACCATTTCAGAAACACAGTCTGTGACACAGAAAGGCACTGCAAGCTAGGGGAAGCATAGAGAAGGGATGTGTTAACACAGGAGCAAATTACGGAAGAGCTGAAAAACAGCGTACAGTACATGCATCTGACAACCATGGTTTGGAGGAGTGAAAGAAAAGAGGACTAAGGTTGCTGGCAGGTCCTCATATCTTTAGGAAATATTATTCTATCGAGTTTAGCCAGGTGATTATATTTAAGTATTTCTTGCACTATTTTGATGGATTTATTTCTCTTTTTCCCCCTAAATCCTTTGTGCTCACTATTTTCTCTATTGAGATGTCTCTGTACTTCTTTGGCCTTCTCTTATTTGTTTGTCTCTCTCACTTTAGTTGCAGAAATAGAAATAAAAACTTCTATTTGCAAACACCTCTGGAGAATACACCTTAAACAGAAACATTAGGTCCAATCAGGCTAAGTGATAATTCTGTGAAATTCTGCACACAGGTATGTGAAGAAATGCCAGAGGATGTGTGAAACTGAGGGTTTGCGTGACTTCAGCTTAAACTCTACAACAATTCTCACTCTCGCACAAAGGTAAGTTGCTATCAATAAGCAAAAAGCCATTGCCCAAGGGACCTAAGGACTCAGGGTTTGACTTCTGACACTTGGATCTTCAAGGGAAAAAAACCAACATACCATACAGAACAATTGGAATGCCTCAGACATTTATCTTTTTGACAATTGTTCAGATTCTTTATACAACTGTCATTCTCCTCATTATGACTACAATAAAGTGACCTCACTCTAGAAAGACAGTTAACCTGCTGAGCACATTCTAAATACCTAGCCTTCCTCAAATCTAAGCATAAATGATCATGCCACCTAACCTGTAAGCAGAGCTACCTGGGCGTTCCCCGCCATTCCCTTGAGAAGTCTCAGCTATTCTGGTGGGGCTCTGTGATGACAAAGGTCTCTGTGGACTGCCTCGTAAGATCAGGACCTATAACCTTATAAAGTTGTGTCCTGTTATTTTAACTGCCAAACAAGGAAGAGTATTACCTTTTCCACTAGTATTGCACAAAAAAAAAAAAAAATCAAAACAGAAGAACAGGCCAAAGCATTCTGAGTCCTGCAAGTTATGTGACCGTTGAGAATGGCAGCAAGTTGAAGCAGAAACTCGACATCAGTAACACAAAACCCAGAGGCAGAATAAAAAAAAAAAAAAAAATGCTAGGGATGAACAGTACAGGATATTGGCTCACCCCACAGGTCTATAGATGTTCTGGCCAGTGTTTTTGATTACATGTGTGGGAACTAAAGCTTCGACAAAGAACAACAAGTCTGGGAGAAGAATCAATATTAACTGAGGGAAAGAACAATAAAATGCTTTAAGGAAAATGACAAGTTGAAAGAGGAAAAACATCTTAAAAAAAATATCAGAAGAAGCAGAATGGAAGCAAGTTTTTTTTCCCCTCAGGTCTATAGCAGAGCAGTGAGTTACAAATATGCAATGTTTCTTTCTCTACATATACACTTTTCCTCACAAGCAGTAAAAAGTTGGAAGAACAATTTGTCACCTGGAAGCAATGCTGCTTTAAGAAGCAACAATAATGAAACCAGTATCAGTGTGAACTGGAAATATATGTATATATAAAGCAGGTATAACACAGCCTGCTTCAAGAAGCTTAAAAGCAAAAGAAAAGAAAATGCCCATAAAACCTCACCAACTCGCAGTAAGTGGGTATCCAAAATATGAAAGTATATTCTTTTGGCATGGCCTATTCAACGCTCAAAAGATGCTGGTCATCACTGAAGACTTGGATAAACATATGCAAATTTTAATTACAATCATAGGCTTAGAGAAAAGTGGCATGAGGCAATGAAGAGGAAGGTGATTACCCAGGGATTTCATTCTCTTCCTTTGCTGAAACATTTCTGTTCTCCCTACTCAGAATTAACAACATAACAGAGATAGTGAGTCGGTCTGTCCTTATACAAGGAACATTCAGATTAATGAAGAGGCTTTTAAACATCAGACATAGTTTGGAGGTGCTGACAAAAACTACTACAAATGTACAAAAGCTGCCAAATGACATGGGTATCTATAAATCAGAGTGCTTATGCTGAGGGCTGGCTACCGCGAAGCAAACACTTGCCTCAGCCATATGTGGCACTTGAACTCTGAGATAACACTTTCTCACTGGCATAGTGCAGGTCTCAAAACTGGGCCTGATGGTTTCAAGACAGCATAATGCATGGACGTGAATATGTGCATGAGCATACACATACGTCAAAAGACAGCAAATATGCTTTGAGGATACAAAAGCAAATTCAGTTCTTTCTACAGCTACTTCTTGTCTTTGATTCACTGCTCACCTCCTATACTGTATGACATCAATTCCAGCCTTCTCAGTATTGCATGTACACTACATAATTTCATTCAGAAGCTTCTCATGCTACACCCTAGAATGAGATAAAACCATTTTTCCCGTTATTCTGATTAGAAGGATGCTCCAAAAACTCACTGCTCCAGTTGTTAAAGTCTCCTCCTAAGTTTCCACCCTCTTGGCAACATCATCCTTTGTCTTAAATAGTTCTTTCACTGCTGTTCCCAATAAATTTGTAGACCACAAGTCCTTCATTCTCCCTGATTATCTTTGCAGTTCATCCCTGAAGCTAGCTGGACTTATCTTTTTTTGAACACAAGGGTCAGATATGCTGATGATTTCACAAAGCGCTGTACAAGGGCATCAGCACTCCCGTAGCTGAGCTGGATATACTATGGTTGATGCATGCTAGGATTACTTCAAGATTTTTTATAGAGAAGGTGGCTGCAAATCACATTGGCGTTACGCCCTAACAGGACACTCACGAGCCTCCAAGCTCAAGCAGAGATTTTTGTTTTATTGTGCTTCCTTTCGTAACACCATGGATGGCCAGTCAGCAAGAATGATTTGTCATCAAAAAGTGCCATCACTGTTTTTCATGTCAAGATCACTCATGAAAATATTAAGCCAATCAGTGCTGTGACAAAGGACATCCTTGAGGAGTTTCACAACCAATATTTTTCCTTTTGCTACCTCTAAGACAATGACAAGGAACAGTACTGAATGGAGAACAGAATCAGGCTGGAGTGAAGTTCATTAATCCTAGACAATGTTTTCCTAAAACAAGAAGAATTGGCACACACAGGACAGGACACTGCCAACTAGGTTTTGCTTTCTCCTTCGAAATTATGTTCACGTAGGAGGGCGTACACCGGGAGAGGTGCCATATCAAGCAGCAAAATATATGCCACGCTCTGAGGTAGAAATCGAGTCCAACAAGGCGCTAACCTACTGCTAAGGAAAAAATTATGCAAGAGCTGAGAGAAATCTCTTAAGGCTGATAAATTAGTCTAGAAACACTTCTGGGAAGGGAGCAAAGGTTTCATATTTGAAATTCGATACGAGGGAAGACTGGAAGCGTAGCTGGAAGGCAGAGAACACTCCAGCCAACATCTTTCCTCAAAATGCCAACTTAGCAACTGATAGGAATGTGTGGAGAGAAGCGTTTGCAATCAGCCAGAGCAAGGAGTGACAGAGAGCAGAGGTCGAGCACAATGTTCTGCTCAGTTAAAACTGCTTTCAAAAGACAAGTAACCTGAGGAACATGAGGACTACACCACCTCTAAGCTTAGAATCTTACATTAAAGTGTAGAAACTCACTCCTGGAGGGGAGTAGAGGGGGAATCTCTGACTGTTTTGAATGTCTCACAGCTTTGAATATAATCATATCACCTGTTTAAAGGCTTTTCTGCATAATTACAAAAAAAAAGCTCTGAAAGTCTCTTCTTGCAGCAAAGCTCTTACCTGTGACAAGAATTTAATAGCTACAGGAACGGCTACAAATGAAAAATACTTTTAATTAAGTTCATGTAGTTTCAAGGAGTATTACAGGTTCCAATAAAGCATTTATGTAAGAAGCTAAAATTGACTAAAAGCCTTCCAAATATCAGAATTTGGCAGTACTATTTACCCATCACCAGTTACAACTGCAGTATAGTCCACAATTTTACACATGGAAGCATGTAATAAACCCAATAGTTCCTTTTGCACCGCTAACTACAAAAATACAGCTTCACGATGGAACTTAAATTCAGGTTTTACTGAGGAGCTTTTTATTTTCATAAAGTTACTAGACACATTTTTCGCGAACACATGAATGATAAATTTCAAGTACAATATATGTCCATATAACTAAAAGTGACTGACTCACCTGGAATTATTATGGTGAATGTTGCAAGCCCTTGCCATTAGCACCACAATCATTGGTCGAAAGGCCTTTCCTTTCCCATCAAAGTAATAATCACACATTTCCTTAAGTTCTGCTGTAGATACAAGTAATTCCTATAAAAAGGAAAAGAACATATCAGCATAAAAGTCACAAAGCCAATCTGTTTAGTGTGAACAAAACAGTATGTATGTATAAGGTTATTGCCTGTATTCCCTCCATGCAATGTAAGCTGAACCTGTTTTTAAAATTACTATGAGTAACCTGAAACATAAATGATATATTCTGAGAATGTAAGTCAGGAGAAAAAAAAATTGCATTCTGGTTCTATAAGATATGTAGAAATGCTCTCTTTGCCTTCAGTTTAAGTTTCAGACAGCTGTTCATAAAGAATAATCTTTCAGTAACTATCCTCCAACGTGATGGTTGCTATTAAAATCAGAATCATCACAACATCCCAGAATAGTCACCAAAATCCCTTACCTTTTTAATATCTTCATAGAGATTCTTCAAGTCTTTTCTACCAAGTTGAAAAGGGTCTTGGTATTTTTCATCACTAACTGTCTTACTGCAGCTGCACAAGTGGGGTATACTTGTATGATGAAACCTGGTGACAGTGTTTTTCAAGAGAGTAACATTGTTAAAAGCAAACTTTCCCTGATTCCCCAAATAGAAACATTTCAAAGCATTTCCTCCTCCTCCCATCCCCTCACACAAAATTTAACCAAATTGCTACAATATAAACAGAAGGCATCAAAACACTCTTTTCAGCCAGCTAATAAGGTGCAAGGACAACACAGCTACATATTGATTATCGTAGACTTTTAGGAGTTGGCAAAGTGCAGCATTTGGCAAACAATAACCCCTGCCCTTAACAGAAGTCTTCTGAGACACATAAAACTACATTGCTCTCAATGTATTCCTTTTGAGTACGCTATCGATAGCAGAGCATACATCTGGAGATGAAGCCTTCATCTTCCAGTAACACAATTATTCTGTTACTTTCTTCCTTCTCCTGTATACTCCTGGAAAAATATTCCTGACTTGGATTTGAAAATTCTCCGTTACACAGCCAGCTACGTTGTAAATTATAAATTAAATCAATACTTCCAGGTAGCATGATGATGCTATCAAAGTTCATTTGTAAAGGGTGAAAGCTCCACCTGGATGCATTAACATGCATTAGGCTTAGGCCTGATTTTTTTTTATGTTCCCTGAAGTTGAAGTATACGCCTCTTCCTATGCTTCCTTTTTCAAAGTGAACCATATGGGTTTTCTTGGGGCATTCTTGCTTTGCCAGTTGCTCTCCAGGATGGAGGACTTAGATTCAGACTCAGTACCACAGCAGCAGTCTACATAGAATTATCCAGCTATGTACTAGAGTGCATAACCTTATTTTCAAAGTTTACAGCTCACAGGTGTGACTACCCAGTTCACCCAGTAACTATGTCTTTACCCATTACACAACAAGATGAATCTCCAGCTTACCGCCAAAATATATTACATATTTTTGGAAATGACAAAGTTGAACTTCTTTGGGTAAAGTGACACATCTGCACAAAGAAAAATCAGGGTTAATTTAATAGAACTTCAAACGGACAGAAAACATTTGCCTACAAAAAACATGTGTCTGTTCATCAGCACTGCTCTATTTCTCCATTTTAAGAACCCAGTAGCAAAGGGCATCTCATAATCTCCTTCCATATCACGTGAGACATAACTGCCGATATGTATATTAACTTCTGACTTAAACTGACTCTTCCACTCAGTTTCTCCCCTTGCAGGACCAGCCCAGAAGGTGTGTCAGTTAACTTCCTTAATGAAACCTTGCTTTTGCACTCGTGGGAGGTGCAATTTTAAACGTTCCCTGTCTTGCAGATAAATCTGGACTGCACCAGTCAAGGCACAGAGAAAAGGACAAGAGCTCTTTCTGAAAACTACTACGCTAACAGAAGAAGAACATGTCTTTGTTTTCCCCTGAAGCAATTTTAATTCAGCTTGCTTCTTATGGTAATTTACACCTACAACTTCCCTGCTAGGTGTCAAGAACCTAACCTCTAAACCCAGCAATCTCTCCAATGATCTCTCCCTGCAGACGGAGCCCAGGAGTCTGGGGGAAGGCGCAGTCCCAGGTACAGGATTCCAGCAGAGATAAGCTGAGAAAGGAAACACAGCTTTTGCTCCGCTCCTGGCATTGCTGCCAAGTACTACCCAGCCCTGCCCTGGAGTGCACGCTGACTCAGGGGCCTGGGCGGGCTGACCCAGCCTGAACTCACTGCAATCCACACATTCACCAAACTGCCTCTCCAAAAGCTCGCGCAGAAATGCTCAAGGAGACCTAGAACTGGAGAAGAGTTCCCCCAGCTTGCTCCTCATGCCTCAGTGCCTCCTTGTAAGCGACTTGAAGTCTCTCTCTTTGGAGGCAGGGAGAGAAACAAGAGCAACGCACAGGCTCCAGGGCACCCTTCCATCCTCCTTGTGCACAGGATGAAAAAAGGGCAGGCAAGGAGACACAGGAAAGAGAGGAAGAACAGGAACCCTAACTTACCAAAGATTTGTAACTCACTGCTGTCTGACTTCAGTGCCCAGCCCTATGGCCAAGACCTTCCTAAGTTCACTCTCTCCTACCTCTCACCATTTTCTGTTGTTAAAAAATAGCTGATCTCTTCCTATTCTTCCTTCGGTGAGGGCACAGACAGACTCTCTCCTTTACGCTGCTGCTTAACACTGTAAGCCTGGGTCATGCACGATGGAGGGCACCTCACAGTCAGAACACTTCACTGCAGGTCAGAGCAGCAGCTTGGCCTTGTGGGAAGGTGTAAACGAACGCAGCGACAGAACTGCCCCCCGTTACAACCCATAACGCTAACTTACGTGCAAACACGTTGGAAATGTCGCGCTAATGAGCATCGCTTTCCTGCTCCCACCTAGAGAGGGGTCCGAGAGGTTCTTCCCCACGACAGTAACCAATCCTGCCCTCAACACCCTTAAGCCAGTATTTAACCTTGCACCGAGAGCGCTCCTGCCCCCCGCAAGGCCTCCCCCGCCCCGGGCAGGGAGCTGCCCGCCCG